GGGGGGCATGGCACAGACTGGGCTCAAATCCCAGCTCTGTCGCTAATTAGCCACTTAGCCTTGGGTGTGTGTGTCTGTGTGTGTCAGTGTTTAAATTATCGAGACAATGTTTCATGCCATTTCTGCCTGGAACTAGCTATGTGATCTTGCATAATTCGTTTTACCTTTTAGGTCTAAGTTTTTTATCATTTGAAGGATTGGGGCTCATATATAAAAACTCTCCCCAGCAAGAACATTTAAAGGTTATTTTAATACCCTTAAATCTCTACAGAGAAGCAGCACAGGATAGACAGACAGAGGTTCCAGCCTGGGTCTGTATCGCTGGCTATTAAAACTGCATCCAAGGTGTCACCTCTGTGCTGTACTGAAGGTTCTTATCCAGCAATCGGATAGAGGAAGGCCTACATTTGCTGGGCCACAGTCAGTAGATAAGAAAATGTATGTAGAAGAACCCGGTTCCTGTTTGTCCTATAAAAGGTGCCGAATATATTTTTTTTAGATAAAATCTGTGTTTAGAGCACAAGAAAGCCTTCGCGACCCACAGTGGAGTAAAAGGCTACGGCACTAACTTTAAATGGTCGCAAACAGTTAAAGCGGCAAGATTTTTAATCTGATTTTAATAGTTTCATTTGTTTCCCCTAGAGCAAGCAGCCACGACGCCTCAGTACCTGGGTGAGTGCGGGGAGGCGCCCTTTGCTCTGCGCTGCTGTTTGTTTCCGCTCCACAACGGCCTTGGGGAAAAGATAATCCAGTTTGTAAACCTGCATATAGACTAAGAATTAATATACTCTAATTCTCCTGTGAATAAAATGTTGAGCTGTGCACTGCCTCGCACCCAACAACCAGAGTCCAAAAGAGGGAAATCGTGCCGGACGGCTTCCTCTCCCCCACTTGCAGGCCCTGTCTCCCTTTTGGGGGGTTCAGGAATCACCCGACGTCCACACTCCAGTCACGCCACCATCCTCAGTCTGCTCCAACCCACTTTGACCCCACGTCGGAAAGAACCGAGTCAAGGGACCACCGCACTGTTTCTCCCGGATTTCTGACGACCGGGCGCAGTTCAAGGCAAACTATCAGGCTGGCAAGACGGTAGGTGGTTTCTTTTGGAAACTGCCTCTGAATTTTGTTTTTCTGTTACAGACGTGTTGCTAAGAGATCTTTGACTTGGCAGGACCCACTCTATTTTCGCTAGGAAATCCTGGCTTTGTGTCCCTGACCACTAGGCTCCAAACCTCCCAGGCATCCTCGGAGGCGCCATCACCATCACCACAAAAGGAGACTTTTCTCCTTTGACACATTGTTGCGAATTCCACATGGCGCATGATTACTTGTAAAAGGAAAGGACAGCCTAGTTAGTTAAGGGACCATTTACAGTTCTGGCTCTGTAATCTTTATGCAGAGAAAAAAAAAAAATGCCTCTTTGCTGATCAGAACACACACACGGCAGATTTGTTACATTTAAGAAGCTTATTAATAGGAATGAGTCCAGAGAAAAATCAGGGAAGGTCAGAACCAGAAACAATATCACATAAGCAATGTCCAGGTGACCTGCACCCATGCCTAGGTGACCTCCATCAATGCCTAGGTGACCTCCATCAATGCCTAGGTGACCTGCACCCATGCCTAGGTGACCTGCACCCATGCCTAGGTGACCAGCACCAATGCCTAGGTGACCTGCACCCATGCCTAGGTGACCTGCACCCATGCCTAGGTGACCTCCATCAATGCCTAGGTGACCGGCACCCATGCCTAGGTGACCTCCATCAATGCCTAGGCGACCTGCACCAATGCCTAGGCGACCTCCATCAATGCCTAGGTGACCTCCATCAATGCCTAGGTGACCTGCACCCATGCCTAGGTGACCTCCATCAATGCCTAGGTGACCTGCACCAATGCCTAGGTGACCGGCACCAATGCCTAGGTGACTGGCATCAATGCCTAGGTGACCTGCATCACAGCAATCCAGGGAGGACCTCACATGGGGACGTCAGGACATGTAAAGGAAGGATCAGATCTTACCCATGGGGCAGGCACCCCCAAGGTGAGACTGCCTAAAATATGTGAAGCTCACAGGGCAGAGATTAAAACATGAAAAAACACAAATCTGCCTAATTATGCACAATAGACATGGCATGCCCCCAAATGGAACGTGAATCCCCGAAAGAGCTCAAGGGGTAGTCAGATAAACCCACAGGTCAGGTCGGTTGTAAGAAGAGCCCGTGAGCTGAGACTTTTAAGCCTTTAGCGTGAGACTCTGTGCGCCCGTGGAAGTCTCGGTGTTTTGGTAATGCCGTGCTGCGGGTGACCGGTGGATTTTCCTATCCGTAGAATAACACTAGACTTTCCAAGTCCCTCTCAGCCAAAATTGTTTGGGTGATCCGAGGGATCTACAAACCGCCTTGACCCTGTGTGATGAAAGATGCCATCTAAATAAAAGGGTAATTTTAGCCATAATAAATAGTGGTAATGACGATGGATGGCGGTGTCACTGAGGAGAAGCTGGCCTGCCACGCGGGCGCCCCAAGCAACCAGCTGCGAGCTGAAAACAACATGCGGCCAAGCCAGGGGGAGGCTCAGTGACTGAGACGACATTAACCTTCCAGCCAGGCATCCGGACCAAGCCCCCGGTTTGGAGGTGGAGCGTCTGAAAGGAAAGAAGGGGCAATGCCGGTCCCGAGCTCGAGCGCTGCCTTGGGCTGAGGAGACCTCCCCCGAGACAGGTCGACAGGGAGCGTGGCATCTTCCTTTTTCAACGGGACAGAAAGCTGCAGGTCGGCGGAAAGGGCCAGAATCCCATCAGAGCTATGACCCTCACCCCGGTCGCTTTCCATTCCCCACCAGCCCCGACAGCCCCCCCGAAGGAGAAACTTCAGGGAAGGGCCCGCTCGGATGGGAACGTGTTGGAACGGGTCGTGTCCCTCGAGGCGCCTTACTTAGCCGACTCCCATCCGCCTAGGCCGAGAAAGTTTGCGGGTCAAGTGCCCGGCCCCTCGAGCAGGGAGGAGCCACTCGTGGATGTTCAGGGCAGTTTGGGGGGAGCCGGAGGAGCGCGTGGCTGGGTCCTGCTGGGCCGGGAGCGAACACTGCTTGGGGCTCCGTCCCGCTTCAGATCTGAGAGGCCTTGTTGCGGCCGGAGGCCTGAGGATGCTCCGTCCTGAGGGACCTGGCCTCCCGCTGCCCACATGTCCTCAACCAACCAGTCGGCACAGGCAAGAAGGGACCCGTCTCCCCGCCCACAGAAACGCGCTCCACCAACACAAGTGGGGCGCGGGAGCCCCAGACCCAGGAGGCTCGGAGAAGCACAGGACGACCTCGCCCGTCTCCTCGCTCGCTCGCTCGCTCTCTGCTGTCTCCTGAGATTTCAACTTTACATTCAACAGCTCTGACTTGCTTGCGTTTCGGCAAAGCTTGACATCGTTTATCATTCGGCATTTATCCCGGTCCTCACTGTATGTGTTACCATCTTTATATTTCTAACCTTTCTAACTTACCGACGTTCATTTTTGGGCGTATCCTTTAAAGCGAGTCTATCCGCTGCTGTTTAACATTTATTTATTTTTTTAATTCATTTTATCTTTCTTGAAAGTCTCTTCATTATTTTAAGTCATTTTAATATCTCTTTGAAAGGTCTTTCTGTTTCTCATACAGGGGTGGGCACAGGAATAAATGTTTACAGGTTAAAGCGAGCACGGGAAATGCAGAGCTTATCCTTGTTTTATTGTTTATAAATTGCTGTATTACAACCGCAAACCGACGTCTGCCCAGCCCTGCGTTTCCTTATGTCTTCTCTCGTCGGACCACCCTGTTTGATTCTGCTCTGCTTTCTCAGTTTTCTCAGCGAGTGCCGTAGCTTTCTGACTCCTGATGTTATCGATGGCAAGTCCTTTCCGTGTCTCACTTTGGAAATTATTTTTCTTTCTATTTTGCTTTATCTTACATTCTGCCACTCACCCCTTCTCCCCACAGGACACCAATGTCCGTTCCTATGGTTAAAAATAAAAATCCTCTAGCGTCTTTTCCCAGAGTCTGAGATNCCTGATGTTATCGATGGCAAGTCCTTTCCGTGTCTCACTTTGGAAATTATTTTTCTTTCTATTTGGCTTTATCTTATATTCTGCCACTCACCCCTTCTCCCCACAGGACACCAATGTCCATTCCTATGGTTAAAAAAAAAAAAATCCTCTAGCGTCTTTTCCCAGAGTCTGAGACGGGTATTTGTGACAGTGACTCCGGCCGGGCGACCTTGAGCCCCGGCCCTGACGCCTGGGCCTCAGCTCACAGACTTTGAACACGAGGGCCCCCCCCCAACAGCCCTCACCAGACCCTGGAACGCATCGACTACTTCCGCCGCTCCGCTTAGATAAGGTGACGCCCTTTTTATAGCTATATCCAAGGCCCCATAAAACACAACAGAGAATAAAGACTTCTCTGCAATAAACGTTAAGAGGTAAATAAAAGCGCCGGTCTTAACTGTGAGGAAATTACAGTTGGAGCGTTGACTTAGCCCCTCGCCCACCGTGGGACCCGGGGAAGTCGCTGAATCACCTTGGACACCAATTTTCTGCTTTTTTAATGGGAGAGCGTTGACCTGGATTACTTCTAACTGCCTGTGAACCTATACCTTTCTGTTAAAAAAGCTCTGAGTCCGACATCTACGAAGAGTCCATTGCTTTTTGTACCAGGTAACAAAAGGCCAAGAGCACTTATTCCTGCCCGAGCACCGCGGCCTCTCCAGTCCCACTCCCCGCCGGGTGAAACACTGAGTTACTGCGCTAACGTAAATGGACCCGAGGTTGGGCCGGGGCCCGACATACTTGCCGTTGACGACACCGTCCGGGTTGAGCATGGGGATGATCTTGAAAATGAAGTTTTCCCGCAAGAGCCTGGCCACAGGGTCGCTGCTGACCAGAAACTCCAAGGCCCCCTTCATCACCCAGCTGGCGTTGCTTTCTCCGGGGTGAACTCGGGCGGTGATCACCTGATACGGACGCTGCCCTGTTGGAAAAAAAGGCAAAGGGAAATTAAACCTAAAACCCGCTTTCCATTTCCACCAAGATAGCCTTCCCTGGGGCGGGGGGGGGGCACCTGGAGAACTTCACTGGACTTTCATGACGTGTGAAAGAGGCAAATCGCTTCCAACGCACACCCGGCCTGCAGGTGTCCATCTTCCACCTGCTTCTACGGCCTGCAAGGCTCGCGAGTGTATGAAGTCAAAGCTCAAGGCTGTCATGAGAAACATAAATACACAGAGGCGTGAGAAGCAAAGCCGAGGACCCTCCGGAGTCTAACACAAGATGCTGGATGTCACAGGGGCGAGATGGACGCTTACTGTCATCACCATCGGTGTGACATGGAGACAAACGGCTCGATTTCTCCGAGGCTATTTTACCATCTGCTCAATGGGGGCAATCGTGCTGACCGTGAGTGGCTGTTACAAAGACGGGAGGTAAAGAGAAAGCACCGGGCCAACCGTGAAGCCTACGGGCGAGATGACCCCGCTCACTCCTCGGCAGAAATAAGTCAAGCACACAACGTGAACTGGGACTTTATCGCCGTGGGACATGGAACCTAGTCCTTGAGAGAGGCCCGGGAAAAACTCTGCCCAGCGACAGGCGCGTTCACCCGAATGGACCGTACAGAGAGTGCATCGGGGCGAGAAACGCGGGCGCTCTCCCTGCCGTTGTGGAGAGAAGGCGTCTGGAGTATCTCTAACTCTGAGCAACGACAAAGCTAAGTAACTCCCAGGGAGAGACCCAGGGAACAAGGAATCGAACATACAAAGAAATAAACTTTTAAATCCTGAATTGCATTACTGTTATCAGTCAAGGCAAAAGCCCCTCTGCCTGTCGACCACCATGGAGATCTGGGTCCCAGGGGCATCCACAGGCGCATTTTTACTGACTAGTTGTCAGTAACGACAAACACGCAATCAGATAACGACAAGTGAGCTAATGGTGGTGTTTAGAAAGCACCCGAAATGGGTCTGCCTGAGAGGCCCGAGGACATCTCCGGAGACGCGATGCTGCTGGGACTGGGTCTTGCAGAATGAGGGCCGTCTAACCAGAGAGGAGGGGAGAAAGGCTTTTGTAAGCCAAAAAACAGATGCAGGCAAAGGCCGCAGAGTAAAAAACATCGGTGCCTCCAAGAGTAAAGCAAAGCGATGAGTGGCCGAGGCCAAGCACGTGAATTACAAAGGTCGGCTGACGTCGGACGGGTAAGGTCCCTCCTCCTGTATGTTCTTAGGGACTTGGGCTTAATGGATCGGGAGCTCTCGGCCACGGAGTCGGCATCTCGCTGGGGTGCTGTGATTACCACGGAGGCCTATGGAAGAGTGACCAGCCACCGCTAACAATACACGTTTGCTCATAATATATACGTACACATATATTATACATACAGACATACGTCTGCCCCCCCCCCTCAAGATTTCTATTTCCACGGCTCGGATACTAGCTGTCAACCATGGTCCAAAAATATTAAAAGGGAAATTCCAGAAATATGCAGTTTATAAGTTTTAGATAGCATGCCATCCTGAGGAGCAGGCTGGAACCCCCAGGGGCCCCGCTCCATCCCTCCCTGGGTGGGAATCATCCCTTTGCCCGTGAGTGACTTAGTAACCGTCTGGGTTATCAGATCCAACCGTCACCGTATCGCAGCGCCTGTGTCCACGTCGCCCTTATTTTACTCCGTCATGGCCCCAAAGCGCAAGAGCGGTGATGCTGATTCAGACACACCACAGAGAAGCCGGGAAGTGTAAGCACAGCACAGTGTTTCGACAGAGACACCACATTCCCATAACTTTTATTACAGCCTATTGTTATAATTGTTTTATTATTCGTTATTAATCCCTCAGTGTGCACAATTAATAAACTTCATCACAGGCAGGTATGCAAAGGAAAAACACAGCACAGATCCGGGGTTCTGTGCTCTGCGGTTTCAGACACCCACTGGGAGCCTCGCGGAGGATCCCCCAGGATAAGGGGGGGATGACTGTCTGTACTGAACAGGTTTAAAGCCATCCCTACGGTAACGTTACCTTCAGCGGCACGCGTTCGGGTGTCCTCTCTGGGTTGGGGACAAAGGCGTGAAAGAGGGAGTTGTAATGAGTTTTCTGCGCGCCCCAAAAAAGAGCAGCTGAGACACTGCTTTACGGAACAGAGCCGAGCCCCGGCCGACGGGGCTCAGCAGCTGGGCATCGGCCGTGTCTCCAGAGTTCAATTCCAGCCCCACCGTTTTCGGCCTGAGATGAGCCACACACCTTTCTGACGAAACGGAGCATCGGGCATACGGGGGGTTCGCCCAAGGCCAGTGGCCCACTAACTGAACCTGCTACACGAGCCTTCGGAGGGCGGGAGAGGGAGAGAGACGCGGTTAGCCAGCTGAGCGCAGCCGACGCGAGCTGAAGGGCCGCTTGCCCGCCTCCAACACAGGCTCCGCCGGCCAATAAAAGGCCTGTGGGGAGAAAGAGGCTTGATGAGCCTGTACCCAATCAGTGGCCTATTTTCAGGTCTATAATTCCACATCCCTCGCCGTGTGGTTTTTGAACTAGGTTCACTCACAGGGCCTTGAACAACACTCGTCGGCGCTCCCCGCCCAACACGGAGAAATAAAACATAGCTTACGCTCTTGCAAATTTTCAACACAGCTGACCGCTCTCGTCGTTTGGCCCATTTACGCCCCGCACTCCTGTGCGCAGGGCGTTAGTCCACAGGCCAAATGCTGCCCTTGCAAACAGGCGTCAGCGGCTTTCCTTTGGGGGTCGGGTTGATGATCCGCTCTATTGGGATACATCACGAGGCCCCACGGGCTGTCCTGAGCACCCCGGAGAAGCAACCGAAGGCAACCGTGGGTTCTCACCGAGACATAAGCAGCATTCGGGCCATTTCTAGCCTATTTCCCTCTGCGTGATTTAAGACAACTTTGCGGTCAGAGCGGCGAGTTAAACTTTCTGGACCATTCGGCCGTAGCAGCAAAGGGCGCCCCAGAGAACCCCTAACAGACAACAGCTGTAAACAGTATGCAGCACACACCCCCTGTGTTTTTTCCTGGTAATTGACAGTTTCCGTTTTAATAAGTCATCCCTNCCCAATCAGTGGCCTATTTTCAGGTCTATAATTCCACATCCCTCGCCGTGTGGTTTTTGAACTAGGTTCACTCACAGGGCCTTGAACAACACTCGTCGGCGCTCCCCGCCCAACACGGAGAAATAAAACATAGCTTACGCTCTTGCAAATTTTCAACACAGCTGACCGCTCTCGTCGTTTGGCCCATTTACGCCCCGCACTCCTGTGCGCAGGGCGTTAGTCCACAGGCCAAATGCTGCCCTTGCAAACAGGCGTCAGCGGCTTTCCTTTGGGGGTCGGGTTGATGATCCGCTCTATTGGGATACATCACGAGGCCCCACGGGCTGTCCTGAGCACCCCGGAGAAGCAACCGAAGGCAACCGTGGGTTCTCACCGAGACATAAGCAGCATTCGGGCCATTTCTAGCCTATTTCCCTCTGCGTGATTTAAGACAACTTTGCGGTCAGAGCGGCGAGTTAAACTTTCTGGACCATTCGGCCGTAGCAGCAAAGGGCGCCCCAGAGAACCCCTAACAGACAACAGCTGTAAACAGTATGCAGCACACACCCCCTGTGTTTTTTCCTGGTAATTGACAGTTTCTGTTTTAATAAGTCATCCCTTAGGGTAGGACAAAAAGTCTCAGGTACTATATCTGCCTTTTTTTTTTTTCTTCTCTGCAATTTATAAAATATAATCCAAAGGCGACTAAAATCTATGGACAAGTCATGGTCTGGCAATCGTCTAATTCTTTTTTGTCTTTTTTATATTCTAATCCTTAAAGCTAGACATAGTAAATTTATGTTTGTGGACCGAGCTAGTCTGGCTCAGCGGTTAGAGCGCTGGCCCACCAACTCAAGGGTCCCGGGTTCGATTCCAGCCAAGGGCGCCTACCTCGGTTGCAGGCTCCATCCCCAGCCCTGGTCCTGGCACGTGCGGGAGGCAGCCAGTCGATGTGTCTCTGTCACATCGATGTTTCTCTCCCCCCCCCCCACTCTCTTTGAAAAGCAATGGAAAACATACCCTCGAGTGACGATTAAAGAATAGAAAAAAATTCACGTTCGTGGAAACGGGATCTGCAAAAAGCGGTGAGACAGAAGCAGAGGAACGCAGAATGCCTCGGAGAGCCGGGCTCGGGCCGGTGCGGCACCGAGAACGGAAGACAGGCCTACGACACACGTGCGCCCAACTATACAAACATCCGTCCCCACGCTCTTCCTTTCCGTGAACAATGTGCTTCATTAATCTCCTACTGGCCTTTGGCGAGGTTCTGGGGACTCCAAGAGAAATAATGGTTTTGCCCTCGGGGAGCTAATCGCAGCCTGGTGGGGAGACGGGCACCCAGATCCTTACGACCCAGTGTGATCGGGGACGTCCGTCAACACATCCTCCAAGCGCAGTGGGGCGCTCGCTCCTTAGGACGTTATTGATAACGGTGCCAGAGCCGGAAACGGCTTCGACGTGCGTCCGCGGGAAACCAGTTAAGGAAACGGCCCATAAAACGGAATACTAGACGATCCTTAAAACAGAATACTATACGATCCTTAAAAGTGGCACAGAGATCTCTTTCTGTCGACATCAGGAGACAGCTGGGACATATTGACGGGCGGGGGGGAGACAGGCCACAGAGTTGCATCCTAGCAGGATCCCATTTGCCTGCAGCTGTAACGGTTCCTTAAAGACCTCTAACCACAGGGACACGTCTGCCGGGAGGAATGACCTCTCTTTAATCCCATCCGGAATGTTTTCCAATTCAGAAAATAATAACCACATGTCGGTTTCCATCAAGGCAGCTATACGTCCTTTCCTTTTTCTTCGCTACCTTAGAGGCGGCGATAGGCACCTCTGCCTTCTCACAGCGCAACATCATCTGCTGTATTTTCATTCCCACTGCGCACCTAAAAATTCACCAAAGAATTATATTGCCATAAATTC